GGGAAAATTTAAGGATCCTTGGAAGAAATAGGAAAAATTTGATCAATTCCTAAATAACGATTAAGTATCCGAATGCAACATTTGTTTGTCACATTGCATGCTGACTGTGTATTTTATTAAAATGGTCCTATTTTTACTAATTACCTGTTTGTATCATTTTTATTAGAACAGGCGTTTGAAGTATTGCCACTGCGGTAATTGTTACCGAATACTGCTATTACTGATAAGTATCACTTCAATAAACTTCATGAAAAATTGCCGACATTGAATTACTGAAAAATGATTAATTTTTTAATATAATAGAATTACTAGTTCTCCGAAATATTGGAAATAAAAATGATGCGTTTTACAGTACTGAAATTATTTCTGCAATATTCGCTCTCCTTGTTATTTTACTTCACAAAAATCAATTTCGTTGGACTAACAGAAACATTTCTATGCATGATAGCCTAGTTGGCCATAATCACACATCAGGTGTGTTAAAATTATCATATGGCAAATGATTACTATAAAAATCTTAGATAAACTTTCAAAATATAGATTAAATTTTTTTTTCAAAATACAGACAAAAAATTTCAAAATATAGATAAAATTTCAATCCTAGATAAAGTTTCAAAAAAGATATCAATGAGGAGGAGAAGGAGAGGAGGAAAATGAAAATAACTTTCAGTTTGATGATATTCATCCAGAAACTGATCCGCATTTCTTTGATGTTATCTTTGAATCGTAATAATTTGCTTCATTTGTTTTTTAAAACCACCAACGTATCAACCAAAAATCAATGACAGTAGCCTAAAATTAGCATAATCATGATTTTAAATTGTAGCAGAAATGGCTGCAAAATAATTTCTATCTTGTTATTATTGATTTAAAAGATTGTAGAAGTTAGGATAAAATGAACACATAGATGATTTATATGGCACTTATTATAGTCACTGATATCAAATATGCTATTGTTTATTCTAACTAATGTCTAATTATCAACAAATGATTGTTTAATCTCTGATGCATTCAAGAGACTTCAGGCAATTATTTTTTACACTACAACAACAACATGTTACTGTAATTTTTTTTTGCATATGAAGTGATCATTATCATATCACTGTTACTGTAATCTTTTTTTGCATATGAAATATGATCATATTACTATTATCGTGATTTTTTTTTTGCATATGAAATAATCACGATCATATTACTGTTGCTGTAATCTGTTACTGTAGTCTTTTTGTGCATATAAAATACTCATTTTTTTGCATATGAAATGACCGTGATCATGTTACTATTACTGTAGCATTTTTGCATACAGAATAATCATGATCATATTACTGTTATCATAATCTGTTACTGTAATCTTTTTTTTTGTATATGAAATAATCATATGACATAATGAATGTATGTTCTGTTGAGGTAAAACACATTAACAATCCTTTTGTGATGGAGATTTTGATTTGAAAAAAATGCTTAATAAATTTATTATTTCTTCTATTCGATCATTCATTAAGTGTTAAAGGATATGAGTAGTGGCAACAATTAATGTCGCTGAATCATAACGATGGTTTTTTTTTTTAATTTCAGGTAATTAAAATAATGTACTATATCATCATTACATCATGATTTGAACTATTGATTGATTGCCTGATTTATACTACCATAAAAGA